AGCATCAAATGTTTGATTCGAACCAAAGATGTATGAGTTTTGATAGGGCAGAGAATCTCATCTCATTCACAATCATCATGATGAAGCCAAGGAAGTTGATGTTTACATGACAGAAAGAAATGCAAGGTCGTCTCGTCTCAAATTCAATCATGTTTCCACGCACTAAACAGACATTGATTTGAGCATATATAGACTTTGTCTATGAACAACAATTAACGACAGTCTTCCATACTTACGTGGATGATTTCCAAACCATAAGAAAAAATTGGTTCCTCGACATTTCACGTCACTTTTGCTAATTACAACTTACAAGCAAGCAGATTGTGTGTGCAAATTGCATGATGGGATTTTGGGGTGAGGTTCTGTTCGAGTGATCAACCAAACAATCTGTAGTTCATCCAGAGGCAACTCTTTCTTAATCATGTGTACGTTTTTTGGTGCGATACAAGCGATGGAGAAAGGAAAATCGAACCTAATATCTCGAGTGAAAGGAATGCTCTTAACCAATTTATGTGGTTGTTAATGTAGAGAAAGTCCTTTACATCAAACTATGGATGGAATATCCAAAATCTCATTAGTAAAAAGATGATGAGGAAAACGTAAAGCTACAGAGCAAAAAGTTGTCATTTTGTTTAATAATCGAAGTCACCCAAATATTTCTAATCCCATGCGCAGACCCACTTTCTTCCTCGGGGTGTCTTATGTGCGTGACACGTGTTCAATAATTGACCCTTATAGCTATGGATTAGTCACCTCCCATCCCATGCAATTTCTGTACTTTAATCTGGTTCACACTCCACGTAGCCCCACCAATGACCAATCAATCTCATACTCATGCCACAAGTTTGTGTTTTGTTTGTTTTAATCTCCTGTCTCTCTCTTTGCAATCTTGTTCTTTTACAATTCGTTTACATAATTTCCCTTAATTTTCGTCATTTGTTTATAGAAAAGTGATTAAAAAGGTTCACATTTTGACCATATTAGATCACCAAGTAATGTCGTTTATTAAACATATCAAGTGCTGGATCATATGATCAGTTAATTATTGTAACTTACAATTCCGTATTTTTTACCTACAATGAATTATTTCTCTTAACTGTAAATCACAACTTGGTGTAAGTGCTTAAATTTGTATTTTTATTTATTTGTTGAAAAGTTATTTTTATACACGTGTCAGACCGTGATTCCACCCAAAAAAGAGACTCTCTCCACAAATAATCTTCTTAAGCTAATGTGATACAGAAATGTGGCTCCTTTTAGTGTACTAGTCTTGCTTATAAACTTCATTCTTCTCTCATTATCCACCTACCCTTGGTTTACAGTCTCACTCAAAATCAAACACAAAAGCCATGAAGAAGAAAAGGTCTAGTCCTTAGCCAATAGAAATCCCAAAGAGTCTTATCAAAACACCAACACAAGTACCATAAAATCTAAATCCTATATACTTCAACTCAAGAACCACAAAACCAAGCCAGAAAAATGATGCCCCTGCCATCATCAACAATGACCCAGATGTGGGCAACAATGGGCTCAACCATAGCCAGCTTCATGTTCGTTTGGGCAATCATCCGCCAGTACTGCCCCTACGAGCTTCGCAGGTTCTTTGAGAAATACTCACACAGAATCATGGGCTACTTTTACCCCTACATCAAAATATCCATCCATGAGTTCACTGGGGACAGGCTCAAGAGAAGCGAGGCCTATTCTGCCGTGGAAGCCTATCTCAGTAACAACACTTCAAAGAGCGCCAAGAGGCTCAAGGCAGAGATGGTCAAAGACAGCAGCAACTTGGTTTTGAGCATGGATGAGTATGAGAGAGTTACAGATGATTTTCAGGGTGCTAAGGTTTGGTGGGTTTTGTCCAAATCTGTGTCTCCAGGAAGATCAATGTCAATGTCTTACTATCCAGAGCAGGAGAAGAGGTTTTACAAGCTCACTTTTCACAAGAAGTACAGGGATGTAATTACAGAGTCTTATTTAGACCATGTGGTGAGGGAAGGCAAGGAAATCAGGGTGAGAAATAGGCAGAGGAAGCTTTACACAAATAGTCCTGGATACAAATGGCCTAGCTACAAGCAGACCATGTGGAGCCACATTGTTTTTGAGCATCCAGCTACTTTTGAAACAATGGCATTGGAGCCAGAGAAGAAGAGGGAGATCATTGAAGATTTGGTGACTTTCAGCAAAAGCAAGGATTTTTATGCCAGAATTGGCAAGGCTTGGAAGAGGGGCTATTTGCTTTATGGGCCACCAGGGACTGGGAAATCTACCATGATTGCTGCAATGGCTAATTTGTTGGGTTATGATGTTTATGATCTTGAGCTCACTGCTGTCAAGGACAACACAGAGCTTAGGAAGCTTTTGATTGAGACCACAAGTAAGTCTATAATTGTGATTGAGGATATTGATTGCTCACTTGATCTTACAGGCCAGAGGAAGAAGAAAGCAGACAAATCTTCTTTGGAAGATGAAACTAAGTCCAGTAAGGAGAGAATTAAGGAACCAAAAGAAGAGGGTCAGGGCAGCAGCAAGGTCACTCTTTCTGGGCTGTTGAATTTCATTGATGGGCTTTGGTCTGCTTGTGGTGGTGAGAGGCTTGTTGTGTTCACCACAAACTACGTTGAGAAGCTTGATCCTGCCCTCATCAGGAGGGGCAGAATGGACAAACATATTGAGCTTTCTTTTTGCAGTTTTGATGGGTTCAAAGTTCTGGCAAAGAACTATCTGAAGCTTGAAACACATCAAATGTTTGATACAATTCAGAGGCTGATGGGGGAGGTCAAAATGACCCCTGCTGATGTAGCAGAAAATCTCATGCCCAAGTCCCCACAAGATGATCCAGAGAGATGTCTTTCAAATTTCATTCAAGCTCTTGAAGAAGCCAAGGAAGAAGCAGCTAAGAAAACAGCTGAAGAAATTAAGGAGATTGGTGCAGCCAAGGAGGATGATGATGATGTGCAGACACAAGAAAACAAAGATGTTGAAGTCCAGAGTGATTTGGTTGGCAATGCGAATGTGTCGTTGTAGTAGAGTTTAACTTTTGTAAAGAATTTTGAATTTTCTGGAGGGGCAAGTGGCTGATTATGGGGTTGAGTTGATGATGTTAAGAATTAATATTCACCTTTTGGGTAAAAAGCTCTGCAAAAGATCTCTGTTGAAGCAAAAATACTAATTAGAGTTGAGCTGATCCAAAACCCTTCCTACTTTTATCATTTGGGTGATTAAATATCAAGTACATAAAGTTCTTTTTGCTTAACACTAGTGCTGTAGCACATTTTGACTCTCAGTGGTATAGATTTTTATATATGAAAGTATACATGCTAGCAAATATTCTAATCTCACAAGTCGATTAGTATTTAAATGTGTAGTTCAAATTCAGAGTCTACCGTCTCTCCGAATATACATACTCGACTTCTTAGTTCAGAATCAGTGGTAAAAACATATGGTGGTGCAGAAAATCCCACATAACATAACAGATGGGCATTTTTATTAAAACCAAGAACAAAAAAAATCTTTGTAACTCGTGAGATAATTCGATCGAATTCGTACTATAAAGTGGCAGAAGTGATAGGACAAGACCACGTGAGTGATGTAGACTTGGTGCTCGATCGTTTTGGATTTCTTGTTTGTTCCAACTTGGAAAGAAAGTAACTCAAACTCATCCAAATTGAAAGGGACTTTACGCAGTGGCCACGCAATTGCACCACTTTCTCCCACAAAGTGTTGGACACTATCTGACTAACTCGCTCAGTTGGTTTTTTTAAATGAATGAAACAAGCAAAACATTTACGACGAAGATCCTCCAAGGATTCCAATATTACGAAAGTCAAAACAAATTGTAACGACTGAAAAATAGGGTAATTAGAAAAACCAAGCGCAAGGATGCGCATAATTATGTCACATACTCGTCGTTAAGGCATCCACAATCATATTTGCTTCATGAAACACATGTTAAATTCTTATGTTCTTAGCATGTGATAAAATACTCCCACCAAACTCACTGTGTTGTGATACAATGTTTGGACCAAAGGATCAAATAAAAACTAAAAAGTGAATTCAAAGATATCTGATGGAAGAAGATGGATGAAGGATTGGACCCCACCACTGGCCTATGCAATAGAAACATCTTTGTTGTTGTTTTTGGACAGTGTTTGGAAATTGGATGGTTCATATTTCATGGAAATAATTTTAGGCAGCTTGTCTTTTTCATACATTAAATAATGGGTATAGGTACAGGCCAGGTTTGCATGCAAATAGTATGCCTATTTGCTTGTGGGGGCATTGAGCAAGAATCATTCATGATGTATATTTTTTACCGTCATAAGAAGATCTCTTGATAAAGGTATTCTGAAGAATGAGCTGGCTTGGCTGGAGAATATTTATTAGTAGAACCATCATATGATGCTTCATTTCTTTTGACCCTTCCTTTGACTAACATTATAGCTCTCGTGTGTTTAGGAGAGGGGTGATGTGTTAGAAAAAGACGTTCATATTGTCACATCCAAACATTAACCAAAACTTAATTATGGTGTTAATCTCTTTTTCTAAAAAGAAAGAGTTCTACCAAAATGTCAATTCAGAGATTGCTGCATCTGCTTGAGTCATGTTGCTGTATGGTCCAGTAACCTTCTCCACTGAACAGATCTATTCAATTGCAGGCTGCAGGTTAGGTTATTGTTCAATAAATAATTCCCTAAACCCCACCAGAGAACAAAATCTTTGTCCCAATTTGATTGTCAAAGTTAAGATAACGCTAAAAATAATGTTCAACATGGCACAGGTAATGCTGGTATTTCAGAATGAAATCAGCAAAGAACCAAAAACTCACGTGCACGGGGGCAGGCGGGCATGCAAAATGACGCTCCCAGACTCCCTCTTTCCCATAATACCACTCCGTCATGCTTACAATGACTTTCATTTGTGCCGAGCAAAAGGTAATAAATCTAAGATGGCTGGTAAATGAAATGACAAATAAGAAAGCCAATCTGAATACAAGAGAAAGTACAATTACCTTACCTTCTAAGGGAGGATGGTTCTATTATAACACAACCAACCCAAATAAGCTCAGACTCAAAGGCAGATCATTATCAGGGATTCATGAACATGAGAGATAATACTACAAAGGCTTTGGCTTTTAACATCTAAGGCCAAATCTTTCAGTTACAATATTAGCTGAGGGTTATTGTACATTGATCGGATGAACTAAGCAAATCCCAACAACTTCCATTCATCTGTCCTAGCTGAGCTCGTAGGTTCCTTCGGATGTCGACATACTAAAAAATGACTACCTAATCTACATAACTCGCCGCATCATGTTGCGACCCTGTTGCAAATCATGCACCAAGGTTGTTGCTTAAATTATGCCTAGGAGAACTCTGGCCACAACTTTCTCCATGGGCACTGGCACAAAATTTCTAAATTTTACAATCGTACAGAGTTCGGCTTCCTTGCAATACACAATCTTTGCTGTCTCGCAGGGGGGGAACTGTCGCATCATAAATCATCCGTATCATCTTTCATCATTGTGTTTGGACCATCATCAAAACCTGAACCAGGGGCAAGCTCATTTAGGTCGAGGAAACGTCTTTTCTGTACACCTTCGACTTCATCTTCCCCTGGACTATTTGATTTTCCAGGTGGCTGGATTTGCTCTTTCTCAACTGTCGTCTCAGGGTAATTTTCAACAGCCTGATCAACTTTCATTTCCTGGTCCTCATCATTACCATCTGAATCTTGACTTTCCATTGAATAATCCCCATTCTCACCTGCATCATAGTGTCCATCCGATGCATTTGATTTCTCAGGTTTCATAGACTGCTCTGGTTCTGACTCTGAGAATTCATATTGTCGATAATCAATACGATTTCTGGTGGCCCTCTTACTGCGTCTTAGACCTGACTGGAGCTCATCAACTGACCTCAATTTAGTTTCCCTCCTAGTGCGGCCTGGCAATTTCTTAACTTTTCGGGGTTCATCACTATCCTCGCTTGCACTTACGGAATCTTCTTCCTCCTCTTCTTCCTCCTCTTCAGCATTTTCTTCCTCAAAATGATACTCCTCATCTCCTTCAGAGCTACTGGAAAACTTTCTTCTCTCTTTACGTTTCTTTAAGTATTCCTCATCATATATAGCTTCACCAACTATATCATCATCACTGTCAAAGTCTGCCTCATTATCTGAAACTGCTTCAACAAATTCTTTCGCAGAATAACGTTGAGGCCTCTGTCTTCGTCGATTGCTACATTCAATACATAAAAATCAGTATATGAAAAAGTCCAATGATTTAAAATATACTGGAGCTGAACATCTTAAAAAGAAGAAAAAGAAGAAATTTGCTCACCCTCGATCCAATTGTTCAGATTTGTTATCTTCTTCGACATCATAATCATAATCAGGTGATTTAGGAGATGGAGCACTAAATCCTACATGCTCATAGGAATTTGGAGTAGCATTCCATTTACCATTACTAGAAGCTTCAGGTTTCACAACTCCCTCTCGTTTCTGTAAAGGTTCCGGGGATGGCTGCTTCCTTCTAAAACAGGAGAAGAATAAAAATAAGTCAAAAGTACTTTATTCTCAGAGAGAGAGAGAGAGAGAGAGAGTATGAAACCCATACTTGGTTATCTTGATTGCCTCATTGATGGACCGGTCATAATCATCTGCAAAATTATTAACACAATCATCGGAATCCATATAGCCATTGTCACATAGGAAAAATAACAGTAACTATAAAGATTGGTCATCAGCTACTTCCCAAAATTAAAATCTACACATTCAGGTAAAACTCAGATTAAAAATTCATGGGACAGCGCCCCCCCATTCCCCAAAAATCCCAACACAAGTACACTTCTATAACAACCTTTCCATCTATGATAGGCACCAACCTCTTAGGTAACCAACTACTACCAAAGAATATTGCTCAAAAAATCAATTAGGATTTCATATCAATAGACGACAGTCAACAGTATACATTAATCTGATCAGTTCATCTTAATCCGTCACCAGTAACCCAGAAACACAACCACCATAAGAAGAAGCCTCACCAACAGCCACATACCCTGCCTGAATCTAGTTATTCTTTTTTGCTTTTAATAAGAACCTGCATCTAATTATACAAAATGTAGAGAGAATGTTGGGAAGAAAAAAAATTGAAAACCACCACTCTTAAGAGTGGAACCGCAGGTTTCTAACAAGCAAAATACATCCAAGGTAACCTTTTAATTTGGTTTTACTCTGATTCAGCAACATGCCCACAAGTTCTCAATGGTTCGTCTATTTTGGCTAAAAGAGTCACTAGGTTTTTTAAGCAGTGCAATTGTCACGGGAAAACAAGGACAAAAGGTAGAAGTTTGTTTCCCTTACCAAAAGTGTAGGTAACTGGCTTTCTGTCACGGAGAGAGCGCCCAGGACCAAGGCCATCCACAGTCAAAAAATTATCAAGGAGGAGAGCTTGTCTGTGTTGCTTCTTCAGCAACCTCTCTTTCCTCTGTGCAAGCAGCAATTGTAAAGGAAGTTTATGAGATGAAATTTTTACTAGAAACAGGAAAAAGATGAAATGGCAATTCTCTCAGCAGATTTGTTGAGAAAATATACTCCAACCACATACAAGATATATAAACCCAAGGAGGTTAAAAGGTTGGTCAGCAATAGTATTACATACCTTGTGAACCTTCTCAATCTCTGCAAGCATGTCTCCTTTCAACTTTTTTCCTAGAGAAGCCTCTGTCCTATTTTTACTTGAGAAAAGTTTCTCCTGTGATAAGAAGATGCTTTTAAAATTTGGACCAGCCACAGATTCATCAAAACACTTAACAATACACTTTCGCAAAAAAGGTTTCGTATGAACACTTGAGTTTATCACATTCTACTAATCCAAATCTTATGTGCAGTTTCTATTAGTAGTTTTTCCATATATACGAGATAGGATCTGATAAAGAACAATGCTGCTTCCCTTAACAATATTTGTCTCAAATTCTGTGCATATGCATTTGCATCTCCTACTTGAAGGAAAACAAATGTATTATCAATGGTTACCAGTTTCAGAGGTTATCCGTATTCCAGAAATACTTGAAAATGAAAACTGACTTAAACATTCAATCCTAAAAGTTTTGCAAGGAAATAAGAATACAGGGCACAACAGCACATACAGATGGGAATACAATTTTAGTATCTTACAGAAACATCTTGAAATTCATCAAAATTGGTTGCGACTGTTTCCCACTCATATGTCGCACTAGGAAGGACCTGGGAACCTTTCGCTTTTGCCTTCTTCACCTCAACCTTCCGTATCTCCCGGTATAACCTATAACCAATTATTGGATCATCTTCATACCTGCAGCAACCACAAACATCCAGTGGATAAACACTCGAATACAATTATTCAATGTACCCAAAAAAAAAAAAGAAGTTGTGCAATATCTCTAGCAATCGGTGAAAAAGATACTTGACAGACATTTCACACAATATTGGAAAATAATTGGAACCAAAAAGGTAATTTATTAACTAAAACAGTTTTGTTAAGAAACTTCATTATATTTACCAGTAAGAGATTCCTTGTGAATCACCTCCAACACGTTCTTTACGAAATGTTGAAAGTTGAACTCCATGCTTCAGTGAGTTGTCAATATAGTTCCGAATATCCTCTTGCTGCAAAACATCACTCAGATTTATTCCTTCTGGTAAAGTAACATAAGCATAGAAAAATCATTTGAGAAGTAGGTAATACAAAATCAATTTTCTAGTTCTAAAATCATGATTTGCATGTGATAAATCCTAAAAACCAATTTTGAAAAGGGGGAGAGAGAGAGAGCGCGAGAGGTACTTGGTCATGCAGAGTGAGAAAAAAAGAGGAAAACTAAGTATTGTATGCATCATCTAGTCAAGGAGGGAGGTCGTTCACTTCCCATTTCTCTCTCCTTCAGATAAAAGAAAACAAACTTCTCCAGAATATTACAAGAACTATAGCAATATAGTTAACCACATTGGTTTTGAGGGTGCCAGTAAGCTCATATAAAGTATTTCACATTGTCCAACGACTTGATACTGAGTCCTGTTTTCAACTAGGAAGAGGGAGGGGGAGGGGGGGAGGGGGCACATAATGAAATCCCACTCTGTAACATGTACTGGATCTCCAATAGATTTTAATGTTATTTTTAAGGGAACAGTTTTGTATTCAAAGTTTGGCCATAACAACTATCATCTTGCTTAGGCAATTGACCAAAAGGTTACTAATAATATTGATGAGTGGATTTTACATTAACTTTTACAGAAATTTGATACTAAGCGTGACATCTGTAACCAGCAGCTGGAAGGCATTAAATCTTTTTAATTAACACTATACCTCAACACGAATATCACAAAGTGCTTTCAAGATGACCACACGAACCCCAGGATCAAGTGTTTTATACACCTCGACCTCCGCCCTATCAAATTAACATTATGTGACATGTTATAAACAGAAAAAGATTCATATGTTAGAGTAGACAAATACACATGATTGCTCACCCATGTGAAGCAACAATGGGTAGATCTCCATCTGCAACCTGCAATTGGAGAGAAATCTGAATTAGGTTTACTGATTCTGTAGAACTACAAAACAAATTGGCTCTGGCTAAAATCTTGCCAAAAATAGTTATATGAGTAAAGTTACCCAATGCCACCAGTCTCTCAACTTTCTGCATAAAACAGTGACCCAAGTATCACGTGTAAGTGCCATTCGCGTAATAGGAGGAATTGCCTATAAAAGAAATCAATTAAAAGTTATGGGCAAGCTAGTAGCAATTTCATTGACAAACTATCAACAAAACATTAGCTTTCCAGCAGCATGGGCTTTCATGAGGTCAAATAAGATTAAAATTTTATGGAGACATTTTCAACCTAATAAGCAAGACGATGACCACAAAAATCCACATTCAAGGAAAACCTAAAAAGGTTTCAGATTTATTTGGATTTTGAAATCTGAAAGGACAAAAGAAAGGATTGGCTAAGGGTGAATAAAGATAACATAAGAGTAGCGAGGAAGGCATGATTACCAAAGAATTAAAAGCAAAGATGGTCTTGCATAAGGGTGAATAAAGAAGAAGGATTCACATAATCAACCACATTCGGTTGACTTGTCTAACCACATTAGTCTTTTCCATAGGATTGGGTACAACATTAATCTTCTCCATAGGACATGTCTTCTGCAGAAAATTAGTCAAGATTCCATCCAAAATCATGCCTCAGCAGACACCAAAAAATTAAGACATTTAATCATTCCATATTATGATTAAGACTCTTGCATTAATACATACAGATTCTGATACAAACCACTGCCAGTCACACCATATATGTGTTGCAAGTGCCTGAAAGAAAGCTCCAGACTTTTCTTTTACATCTATTTCTCTGAACTTTAAAAGGTGTTCACAAGGACAAGGACTCAAGTTTTAAGGCTACTTTAGGCCAGGATTCTTAAAACCACGGGTTATGGTCGTTGTTAACAGCTGAAATATCCACAAAGCAATTTTAATAGCAGAAATAATCACCCCCATGAAGGCAGTTGTTTTCATTTCTATCTACATTTTGAAGGGAACCTAAAGCTTAGCATGGATGAGGTTTTCCACAAAGAAGTAGGCTATAACAACTCTAATGGACTACTTAGCAAGTTTAAGTTCTTGGAGAAATGCTTCTGAAATTTTAAAAATTGAAGCTTTATAACAAAAATTAACTAACGAACCTAACAATGCACAAAGTTACGAGTGTTCTACCAACCTTCAACAATGGAATGTGAATGTCACTCAAAGTGTCATTGGGTGTAATCAAAGCCGTCTCCAACTCCTCTGCCGAGAACTCAGGCGAGATATTTAGAAGCGGCCGAAAAACCTGGCAAGCACATAACAAAATGAAAAACGCATAAGCCCTAAAACACCAGGAAACAGTCCCAAAACCCTAAAAGGTCGAAGCTTCAAGAGCTAAAAATCGAAGCTTTGGGGGCTCACGTGCAAGAAATTGAGTACGGAAGCCAATTCCCACATAGAGCGGAGGGTCCAGCGTGGCAATTGCGAGGGCGGGGGAGGGCCCACCAGCGGCGTGATAATCTTGCTGGCGCTGCATTGCTGCGGCGACGACGACTCGTCGTCTCCCTGCTGCTGCTGTTCCTTTTTGGCAACGGCTCGTCGTTTCTCGGCGGGCTGGTTCTGCTGCTGCTGGTACTGTTGGAGCCGAGCGGCGGCGCGTAAGGTGCAGGCGCGGGAGGGACGGTTGCTCCTGGACAAGGGCGGGGTAGGGTTTGCGGTTGATGTTGCGTTGTCGTTTTGAGGGGGCTGCTGTTGTTGGGGCTCCGGCGAGGATCGGGCGGCCGGGATCGGAGGAAGGGAAGATTCTAGAGACATGGTTTTGGGGAGATCGAGAGGGAGGGAGGGTTTAGAATGAGATTACATGTGGAGGATCAGCGACGTTTCTCGCATTGAGGGTTTGGTTGGGTTGATTTTGTTTTCAGAGTGAGAAACACAGAGAGAAAAAGAGAAGGGGCATGGAGGACCAAAAGCTCCAAACCACCATTCACATATCACACAGGGTTTATTAATTTTCCTTAATATTAATATTAGATTTTAATAATTTGAATTAATTATTGATTTTTTATAAAAATTAATTATTAATATTAATATTTGTGTTTATGGGACTGCAGATATATGTAGGAAACCGAGAAAGAAAGAAAGAGAGAAGGGGAAGACGGGTAAATAAAGTTGATTTCAATTCAATCTCTGTAATTGGCATTAAATTAAATTTATAATATTTATCTATTTTTATCTATTTTCTGTTTTTTTTACAAACTAACCCTTTTTATTTCCTATATATAAATAAATAAATAAAATATTTGGACCCCCCCTTATATTTCCAGGTAAAAGAAATAAAGACTAGAAGGCTGTCAGGTGGATGTGTGATCATTATATTTAGTGTTCTATAAATTCTCAATCAAGTGCATGATTATTTCTATAAATTAAATAGTTAAACAGGGTTTAATATTTTGCTATTAACAAAATAAGAGATCTCTTTTTAGGAAATTACATTTACATTGTCTAATTCTTGGGCCTTTTGGTTTAAATTATGCAACCCTATGTTTAAGGGTAAGGAATAAGGGAAAAACATATGAACTCTAAAGATGGTTACATTTTCATGGTCTGCTTCTTTCTCTCTCCTTTATGTGCACTTGTTTCTTAAACTTCACTCCCAATCATAATTAAGTTTTACTTAAATAATTTGATTACAAGTCCACAGAACCCTTCTCTTTAAATTAAAATCTTTATTTTCGTTGAGAACATATAATTACAAAGAGAAGTCTTCGTGGTACAAAACACCAGCATCAGATGCTGCAGTTAGTAATACTTAGACAAAACTGAGGAGAAGCAACACTAGAGAAGAAAATAGGAGCACTACATTCTTGGATGGGTTGCTTGATAACCATGTAGCATGGGAACTAGGTGAACCGTTAGGTCCTGGGGTTGCAACAGCAGTGACATTTTCCTTGGAGCAAGTGTAGTTGCAACGGCTAGGACGAACAACTCTGTAAACACCACTGCTGGCTAGAATGAAGATGTCTTTTCGGTTGTCTTCGCCGAATGAGAAGATGTAGCCTAGAGCTGGAAGGCTGCTGTCCGGGACAGAGCTGCAAGCTATTGGAGAGTCGCGTCCACAGCTGAAAGGAATCTTGCTTGAGCTGAAGTTGCCACTGTTTTCTGGGTCCTCAGAGCCTGCCCATATGGCACCAGCATACAAGTCTCCAAACAAGTACCTAAAAATAAAAATCCAATCAAGATTAATGCTTCAATTGTCTAGCTTGGTCATGTTTTAAGCAAAAAGTTTATGTTATTTTTCAAAGGAGTGTGATATTTTACTTCCATACTTGAGCTGAAAGAAAAGAACGGTTGTCAGTTACCTTCCAAACATGCATGGATCAGTCTCAGACCGGTAGATATAGCCTCCGGTTATAGATGCTGATCCTTCTTTCTTGTTTACTTCAGAATGGTTGTATCCCATTATGGGGAAAATGGGGTCTGTAGGTTTTCTGGATGTATTTCCACCAAGTGACTTTGGAGGAGTGAAAACATATGGGCCCTCGTAAAAACTCCAGCCATAGTTTCCACCCTTGGTGATAACATCCACCTCTTCATATAGATCCTGTTAGATAAACAGATTAGGATCAGAGGATGTATGCAATGGAGAAGAAGAGATGTCTTTCTGTTTGTCTTTGTTTTTAAGGACTTCGCCAACGAGGAAGTTGATATTGAAAACAGAAAATTTTGAGCACTTGGGATCATCTAGCAGACAGGATTGTGTTTTGTTGAATATGAAAATCAAGAATTGCTTGTACAAATGAAAGATATATATCATACCTGCCCAACGTCTGCGCATATAAAGTAGGAAGGCCTAGCAGAATCGAAACTGCAGCGCCAAGGATTTCTTAGTCCTAAAGCCCAAATTTCTGGCCTCAATTCTGGATCTTCTGAGAATGGATTGTCTTTGGGGATGGAGTAGTTTCCCCATAAAGCAAGTTTATCAATTTCTGCCTCGCCTGGAAGTACATTACAAGGGTAAGGAAAGAATGCAATAGGAAGCAGATGGCTTTGGTAACAGAAACTAGAATTACTTAATTCTGATACTCACTTAGTACGTTATTGACGTCAAGCCTCATAACCTTCCCAAGCAAGGATTTCTTGTTTTGAGAGAAGTTGTATGGATCACCTGTACCCCCACCGTCTCCCATCATGAGGTATAAGTACCCATCTTCTGGTCCAAAGAGTATCTGTCCTCCATGATGAGCTGTGAAGGGGAGGCCCATAGTAAATATCCTTCTTACTTCTGATGGTTTGGCACTTGTTGCCTGGAAAAAAAAAAGGATCAGAATTCAGTAGGAAAAATTGAGTTAAAGTAACAAAAATTTATAATGTATAGAGGTGTACCAAGGAAGGCTGGGATGCTGTACCATTAGCAGAATACTCTGCTATAACAGTTTGGTATTGGCATGGTTGAGCACCATTATCAGAACCTATTTTTGAAGGATCACAATTGACATCTGAATTACATGAACATCTTCCTGTGCATCCTGGCCACGTCACCTTATCACAGTTGAATGAAGCAAAGAACCGGCCATTTTGCGCGAAGTTGGGATGAAATGCAATACCCATCATTCCAAATGCAGTATCAAAATGAACTTCATCAGTTAGATCCACAAAGGGACTGGATTCATCAAGCTCCATTGCAGCCCCTGATCCCTCTTCAGGAATAGTTGCCAACCAAATCTTGCCTTGTTGACTGGAGAAAAATGCGCGGTTGGAGCCATCAGGATGAGCAACCATATTGAGGTAAGATCCATTTCCAATTTTCTCAAGGCACAAACCATGTGGGGGGTTTGGAGTTCCAGAGTCATTTAGAGTGACAGGCTCACCACCAAAACATACTGATCCATCACCAGAGGCTCCACCAAATGCATTGCAGAAATCGGCTTTCGATTGCCAGAGTTTGGTCAGCTCACTAACATTGGACTTGACAGGCACTCCAGCTTGGCCTTGTAATGAAGGGGCAAAGGGAGAGTTCAATATGGACACATTTTGGCATGTGTCCCATATGTTAGAGCAAAAATCATTCACTTCTTGGATAGACTGAGATGAATTTGCTGAAACAGTGGAGTTGCAAAGTAGAGGAACTGGCCGGGGCACAGAATCAACTGTAAAAAGCTCACCCGAAAATGGATCGCACCTCTAAAAACCATGACAGAAAATAAATAAGGAATTTAAGTTTTATGTATGGTGACTATGATTATAACATTATCAGAATAAATCATAAACTGTGAGCTATATAATGAAGGGAAAGACAAACACAAAACCATGCTAGCATTTCTATCAACAGAGCACACTGTATTTGTGGAAATTTTAAAATTGGAAACACTGAATTGGGAGGGTATATATAGTAAGGGAAAGACAAAAGCCTTACCGCACAAAGTACTGATTTTAAGAGAGAAGCACAGCCAGAATTGGAGATGTTCATGGTTTGGAATTGTTTCTGTATTTGTAAATCTTCAGTGGAGTTGCAGCAAGCGGTTTCATTGTAAGGACAAAATTTGAGTGGGCTACTCGGGGTAGAAGGTGCCCCTGCACCAATTATTCCATTCCAACTCAACTTCATTAGGAACTGCAGAAGATAATCAAACATAAAGCAGCAAACTTTACAACAAAAAAGAAGAAGAGAGAAAAACCCACTTGAATCAATGCATAAAGGATGTGAAAATGAAGTATCAAAAAGCAGCAGCAAGTTGCAAAGCAGAAACCCAATGGCAAGAACACCACCCATCACTACACCAAGAGAGAAAGGAGAGAGAGAGAGAGAGTGAGTGAGAGGAAAGCAGGTATCTCTCTTTATAACATCTCTCCCTTTAATCTACTTCAACAGGGTCCAATTAGCAACAGTGTTGCATTGACTTGAGAAATGCTGAAGGATTGTTTACAAACTATAAGTTCACTGGAATATCAGCATTCTGCCAATCCAACCACTCTAGCTTCTATCTGTTATGTATCTCCATTATTTGCCCATCTATATGTTCTCTCTCTCTCTCTCTCTCCTCTCTCTCTCTCTCTCTCTCTCTAGACCAAAATTTTTATATTCCGCTTCCAGAAGGGAGATCATTTTCAAATCCTCTCTCCTCTCTCTCTCTCTCTCTCTCTAGACCAAAATTTTTATATTCCGCTTCCAGAAGGGAGATCATTTTCAAATCTCTCTCCCTCCTTTTTTAAACTCAACTCTCTCTATCTCTCTCTCCACTTCAACTCTCTTCAGCTCTGCTCCAGAAATGAATATGTTTTCAATTTGCTTTCTCTCTCCCTCTAAGGCTTTTTTGACTCCTTGTTTTCAACTCATTGATTTAAGACAGAGGCACCATAACTTAAAGCGAATTAAAGACTGAGGCACCACCATGATCAACTTGACAATTTACATATGGTTTGACTTTTCCTGAATACTTTATCCAAATTGATGGGGGTTGTTGGGAGGAAGGCACCCACTTGTTTGTTTACATAGAAGACAAACCTGGATAGATCTTGGTTGGCTTCAGTGTTTCCTGTGCCATCAACACTGATTACCCAAATGCCCTTGTGGCTATAGTGTGTGTTCAAAGTTGAAACCCAACACCAAAAGACATGCTGGAAAAGCATCATCATATTCAATATGATTGAGAACCTACTTAGAATTCCAATATAAAAAAAAAAGGTTTTAATCTTGGGATTCAACGGTGATGATGATGACATCAACAGTTGAAGAAAGAAACCAAAGTATGATGTGGGTTGATAGAGTTGTATCTGCATAATATATGTGGAGCTCTTCTAGAAACAAAATAAGGGTCATCACATGCATCATCACAGGTTCGACATCAATGTTTGTTTGGCAGGTTTTTCTGGGATTAAAAAATAATTAATTTTAAAAAAATGGCTCAAAGACAAGGACCTGTTCACATTAAATAAGAGAAAAAAAGCAGCTGTAATTGTTGAACGTGGATAGCAGAAAGTGGATACAAGAGCTTATTAGATATGCTTCCTGAGCACTGTTTTCTGATAAACAAATATTTTTCTTTTCTTTTCTTTTCTTTTCTTTTTTTGAAAATGATCAATAGTATACCTGAAGTTTAGCAAAAAGCAGAACAGTGTTTCTGCTGCCTTCGTGTTTACTTTTTGTCCTGTTTCAGCTATAACTCAGATATGAAGAGCTTTTCTTTTGGATTTGATTGATGCCGGCAACAGCAGCATCCATGTACATCTTTCTCATTCGCACTCTTTGATCTCCATTTTGAGTTTTTCACGTAAGTTGTAACGTACTTATATACCCTAGTTAAAGTAAATAAGACAATACTGAAACTTAGAAATGTTAAAAGGTTAAGGTTAGTACTAAAAAAGTGGTATTGGGCTTGGCTATGCTGTGCATCTTGTGACACAGGGGTGGCGGGATATGGGAAAGGCCAAGCGATGACCTGCAACACGTAAGTTTTCTAAGGGCTCAACTACAAAGAAAGTCTTTTCAAGTGTAACCGCTTGCATATAAATTCGTAACTTTTTAAGGGATCAACTGCAGAAAAAGTATTTTAAGTGTAATCGATTGCATACAATTCGTTGTAATTCTAATTAACTAGCATATACTTAATATTTCGTCTTTGTATATTGAACTGTCAATATATTATCAATAACACCTCGATATGTACATAGAATTTATGCATACTTAAACGACAAAAACAAACCTTAATTGTTAGTAAGTTTTTGCTTCTTGGTTGGAATGTTAATAATATACAGACTTGCTCCACAAGCACCTAGTCTGATGTCCACCAACTCTGTTCCACAACTCGGCTCGCTTTTCTGTTGTATTCACGCTGGTCCTCCAAATAAAGCTTAGCAACCTAGTTAGCGAAATTCTACAGTGAATGTATGGACTATATATTTCAAAAGAAAAAATCTTAGAGAAAGTGAATCTATTGGGCTTTGTTAGGTGGGCCATGGTGGTTTGAAGATTGAGATTATTGGAACTGCAAACTAATACATACAGCACGTTCATGGCAATGTAGTTAGTAAAATACGAGACGGGAAAAATGTGTATAAAGTACATAGAGATATTTGTTTGATATAATTTTAAAACCGTACGGGAATAATTCGTGAATTTACTCATAATGGAATTGATATTGTTAGTATCAGTGATAGTTCACAAGATATAATCCAGTGTACAAAACAAGATATGAAAGAAGAAAAAAAGGGACATCTTTGTGTCCCTTGAACAGTTTTGTAGACAGATGGGAGCAAGAACGTTGACCGTGAGTCACAGAGTTGACTGCATGTTCCTTGGCACATAAGAAATTGCAGCGGCTTGGTCTTGCAGCTCTATAAACACCACTGCTTGTTAATATATAAACATCCTTCTTGCTATCTTCTGCAAATGAGTACACGTACCCCAGAGCAGGGGTGGCATTAGAAATTTCAGCTGGCACAATGTTACATTGAATTGGAGAATCATGAGCACATTTGAAAGACATTTTTGCAGTTGAAAAATTCCCACTGTTTTCAGGGCTTTCAGTGCTTTCAGTGCCTGCCCACACAGCATCAGCATACAAATCCATGTACAGATACCTGCAATGTTGTTCACAAAGCGTGGTTATATTTATTCTTCCTTACTGGCAAATCACAGTATGACGCATGTACACGTGCATTTACTATTTAGTGCACGGAGCAAACTGACCTTTTGTGCATGCATGGATCGGTCATCGATCGATAGAAGTAGCCGCCTGTGATGGAGGCTGATGCAGCTGATCCTACATTATTCTTGTCTATGTCAGAGTGGCTATATCCCATTACAGGGAATATGGGGTTTATGGAAGTAGCAGATGTTGTTCCTCCTGGAGACTTTGTTGGCTGAAAAGGAATGGAGCCCTCATAAACTCGCCACCCATAGTTTCCACCCTTTATCAATATATCAACCTCTTCATATTGATCCTGCAAAATGCAATGAAAACTATGAATGCCAAAACCCTTTTGGAGAAAACAACAGCTTCATAAAGGTTTAGCAAAAACATGATATTCAAACCTGTCCAGAGTCTCCACAGAGAAAGTAGGAGGGCCTTTCTGAATCAAAACTACAGCGCCAAGGATTTCTGAATCCCAAGGCCCAAATCTCAGGCTTCACATCCTTGAGATCAACAAATGGATTATCACTTGGTATAGAATAATGTCCCCATAGCCCTTTTCCGCTTATTTCCATTGCACCTAGTAATAGTGGCAAAACAGGACAATTATTTCAACACAGATAATGATATTTTAACCATTTATGCTTGTTTATATGCCAACATAACAACATTGTTTCAAACTGCGCAGTTAAAATATAAACAAAGATCAAACATTTATACTTGTAATTCCCAGGACTTACTTGGTATGGTATCTATGTCAAGCCTCAGAATTTTTCCAAGCAAGGATTTCTTGTTCTGTGCAAAATTGTAAGGGTCATCTCGATTTGAACCGTCTCCCATCATGAGGTATAAAAAGCCATCTGCAGGTCCGAAAAGAATCTGACTGGCGTGACCTCCCCTGTATGGAAGCCCCATTGTGAATATCCTTCTCACTTCTGAAGGATTTGCACTTGTTGCCTAACAAGAAAAACAGACAATAAGAAGCTCATGGATGAGTTTCATTGCAATAGTTCGGATGATAGTTTTCTGAAACATAAAATGGAGAGGTGTGCATTTATACCAAGGAAGGCTCTGACGCTGTACCATTGGCAGTAAATTCTGCAACAACACTATGATATTGGCATGGCTGCATCAGTAACGTCCAGAAAGGGTTCAGATTCATTGATCCCCAAAATCCCATTTGATCCCTCATCAGGTATAGTTGCCAACCATATCTTACCTTGCTGGTTAGATACGAAAGCGCTGTTGGAACCATCAGGATGTGGAACTAGATTGATATAAGCTCCATTTGCAATTTTCTCAAGGCAAAGACCAGCTGGAGGTGAAGCTTTTTCTTGACTAAATGAAACTGGTTCACCTTTAAAACACACATCATCTTCTGACCCACCAAATGCTTCACAGAAGTCCTTCCTTGAGCGCCACTGATCAGTCAGTTTGGAAGGCAACGAACTATATTGCATCCCAACTCTGCCTGGCATTGGTGGAGCAAATGGAGAACTCAAGATGGATATATGTCCACATGTATCCCACAATTTTGTGCAGAAGTCAATTGAATCTCCAACTTTGGACTGATGGGGTTTCACCAAATCAGTGGTATTGCACAAAGCAGGAACTTTTCTAGGCCCAGAATCAATTTCAAATAGCTGAGCAGAAAATTGATAACATATCTGCAGATTATGGAACACCAAAAGTTAGCAAAAGCAAAGTACTTTCTCTAGTAAAACTAACTTATGTGGCTGGACAAAGAGGCTTACTGCACACATGGTCAATTTCAGGAGAGCAGCACATGCAGGATCAAAGACGTTTAGTGCTTCAAATTGTTTCTGCAACACCAAATCTTGAGTGGAGTTGCAGCAGACGGTTCCGTTGTAAGAACAGAACTTCAGAAGAGTGTCTTACTTTATAGGTTGCCCTGTTTGCATTGATAGAAAATAACTCGTTAACTGATGGAAATAAATACAAAACATATTCGTTAAAGGGTAAAATACGAAATGAAGAACAAAAACAGATGCAGAGACAGAGAGAACCAACTTGAAACAGTGCACAGTGGAAATGAGGACAAACAATCGAGAAACAATGATAGGGAGAAGAGGAACAAAAAACAGACACAACTATTCATCTTGGATTCAAAAGAAACAAAAGCTGATAGAGTGCAATCACTTTTACTCGGAAACTGTCACAAAAAACCAAAACCAAAAGCTACAGTTTCTACTTTGTACTGCAAACGATTGAGAGCAGAAGATAAACGGCCAAGTTTCCTGTCCATTCCCTTAAATTACTCTGTGATTGCTTGGTTAATGTGTTTTGCGAGTTTCAGTTATTGTTGGGTTTATTTAGTTTATGGGATTCCACAAACATCATATTGAATATTGAAGAAAGCATTAGAAAAACAAGTCTCGATTTTTACATTGCATAAGCAGCCATATGAAAGTCAAGTTTACTTGGGTTTTACCGTTTTGCTTAAGGAAAATCATAGTTTATGCAGAAGTGTCCCGGATCTCAAGCAGACAAACCCAGTACAAGATGGCTTGAGAAAATGAGGTTGTGTCTGCTTTGCCACGACAAGAGGTCCTTTGGTTATTTGTGGTGCTTGTAAATGCCTGTGTGAAATTGAAGAGAGGGCAGAGGGAGACATTTTCGGATTTTCCTTTGATAGTCAGAATGTGCTTTTAACCCTTTTACAGATTTTCGTCATCGCATTTGTGAAGAAGACGAAGCAATGCCTACGCTTTCATTTTCGGTTCTCTGTTCTTAAAGCCACCATTTCAACTAGGAGCTGAGTTGATTAAAGAGGAGAAAAACAATATAGCATGGCGGCTTGCGAAGCGAAGGCATAAGAAGACTAGTAAGAAACACCAAAGAAAGAAAAGTAGGAAATTATTTCAATTAAAAATAATTTCAAATATAGTACATTATGAATTTCTAGCACATCTTTAGTCTACCCATCTCAACATCTGATTTAGTTTTAAATTGCACCATGAAAATGATGCATTAGGAAACCAAGTTAACAGCAACGAAAAGAATATCCATCAGTCCTCAGCTCCACTTCAATAGGCTGTGCATTTATGTTTCCTTTGGCTACAGGCATGCCACCTTTTTGTTTTCACGGTTCTCTCCTCTTTCCCCCTTTCTATCTTTGTGCCCAATAACCAGGTAGATATCAACTTTCAAGTGCACCAAGCGCCTTCATGTCCTCCAGGAAGGCCATGTAAGAGTCGTCAATGCTCTGTGGCTTCGGTACTGACGATGAGTTCACAGACTCTTGTCTAACAAAAGGAGTTGCTGACTGGGTAGGTGCTGCTGTGGTTGGGAGTGATGGTTTTGCTTTTGCTTTGGGGGCAGCCATCTCTCTCCTTACCCGAACAGACGCAGGAACCTAAACCCAGAACCAGAAAACAGGCTTAGGTCATAAAAGTTTATTGATCCAAACAGACAAAATGTAAAGAGTACATATTGACATCTTGCAGTATGATAAAAGTCTCATAAAGGTCTACCCTAACCACCTTGAATTGTAACAATAAACCTCTACTACCTGCATCTTCCTTTAAACAAAATTAAAAAACTGATGGAGAAATTACAAACCAGAATGCTTATTGAGTTAGGTGTTACTTATAGTAACAAGCAACAATGCCACATGCATAGCATAAGGACGTGATAAATCCTACAGATAGCGAAAGTGAATCAACTCACCATGGCTGTAAGTTCTGGAGTGTGCTGCGCCAGAGGCCTCTTAACAACAGTAGATGCTGCAGATTTAACATATGAAGGTTTCTGATGAGCAGCCACTCGGTTTGCAGCATGATCATCATCTTGATAAGTAGGAGGGGGACCAGGTGGAAGTGGCGGTCTCATCATTGGGGGTGGTCCAGGAGGAGGACCATATGGTGGCCTGGGGATCATTGGGGCCATCATTCCTGGGGGACCTGGTCGACTGGGAAGTCCAGGAGTGGACAATGGTGGCCGCATATCTGGTGGAGGTGGGGGTGGAGGGAAACGAGAGATACCTGGGGGTAATACATCAGGCTGTAAATTTGGAATCAGGGTGGGTCCAGGCATTGGAGGCTGTTGTCTTGGAGGAGGAGGTGGTGGAAGCATGTTAGTAAGATCCTTGGTCACTAGAGTATTATTGGTTTCAGTATCAGACGTTACACCGTCAGACTGATTATTTGTTGACTTAGGAGGTAAACCAGGAGGCGGAGGAGGAGGAGGAAGTATGGTGTGCACCTACAAGAGAGGAAGAGGCATTATTTTCACAAATTGAAAAACTTAAAAGATAGGCTTGGCCACCCATACAACCTTTCTTTGGGCTTACCAGTCAAGCATATACTACTACTTTCGAATATTTTGCTAACTTTTACAACTCTGAAAATTCTTGTTCCTCTTAATAGAAGATATCATTTCAATGGACAATAAGGGGCAGCTTACCTGCGTCGAGTCCTTAGAGGTTGATTGATCAGACAATGTAGATTCACTGGTTTCCATCTCATTTCTGCTGATACCAGGAGGAGGTGGCTGTGCGGACTTTTGCAGAGGTGGAGGAGGGGGAAGTAAAGGGCGATTAGCAATCTCTTTAGGCAGGGGTCCTGGAGGTGGAGGTGGAGGTGGTGGCAAAGAGATACCTGGGTTTACAGCCGCAGGGGTAGGCGGTAACGGAGGTGGAGGAGGTAGAGGCAAAGACTCAGGGATGATGGAGCTATCACCAGGCCCATTGTTACCAGAATCGTGCAGAGGTACAGCTAAAGCAGCATCCTCTGACTCCATTGTTGAGGATGACGATGCAGCACCACTTGAAGAAGCAGCAGATAATGGAATTCTGGGCCCTGCAATTCAAATTCCAAAAGAGAATAAGAGAGAGAAAGTAAAGTGGTCACATTATGACACAAAATTGGGGTGGGGAGGGAAACCAGACCTATCGATGATTTAAACATTGGAGGCTTTCCAGGCGGTGGGGCCCCAGTAGGATTCAGGGTTGGGTGGTAGTAAACGGAGTCCTGCAGGAAAACATAAGAAATTTTGGTTTAATATATTGGAAAAAAGAAGAAGAAAGAATTTAAAAAACATTTACAAACCAGGCATATTGTACCTCAGGCATCGGATGCTTCGCTCTCTCCTCTTCTTCTGCAGTTCGTCTTTTAGGCGGCCCCAAATGACTGACCAGAAAACAAACTATAGTTCATATATCAAAACAAACAGAAAATGAATTCAAGTATTTGACCACTGGCACAGAAACAGATTCGGAAAACAGATTTTTCACCTGAACATAACTGGGGCCTCACCCTTCTCCTTCAATTTCTCTGCATATTCCTGTACAAAAGAGTACATAAGACTGATCATTGCAAGCAAGAAAATTATTACAACAAGGCACATGGATTGAACATGAAGTTAGAAGACCCTGAACCACTAAGTCACCAATGAAAGATCACAGTACAACAGCATATAACAATGTGGCTAGTTGAATTTCTGAAAGAATGGTATAAAAACAATGTTATATGTGAAAATTACCTTCCTCTTCTTTATAACAAGGTTAAGTGTATCCTCTAGTTGCCTCTTCTTGTGTTTTCTTGCTTTGTCCAGAGCACCATCAGCCTCTGTGCCAATCAGTAAAATACATCAGTGGGTATGAACAGGAAAAGCAGCATGGCATGGCTGCATATCAAATTAAAATAGTAAAAACAAAAAATCTAGACAAAGAGCAGCAAAAAGCAAGATATAGTAAAGCAGTAACAAAACCAAAAACAATAAGCACAAACTGAAATTTTCCTTTAAGAAAAAAATTCATTGTTATCTATATCAATATTAATTTCATTATTCAAAAAAAAAACTTACACTACAATGAGTATGTTTAAAAAAATTAAATAAAAAATTCATTATGTTAAAGAACCTCTAGGTTTGAGACAGCAGATGAAAATGAACTTCTAGAATCTTTAAACAAAAGTCCAGAAGTCAATTGTGACTTACTCATCGTTTTCAGCTTATCAATCTGCTCCTTCAGTGTCTCGGGATCCTTCTTCAAGATCCCCACCTCCCTCACCTTCTTTCTTTCTTTCTTATTCTGTTCGTCATAGACAACATAAAGTCAGAAGTGTATGAATAAAGATTTAATCTATGCAATAAGCTTATCAAGAACACCAAAGGTAACAATATAAATGGGGGTAATTTCTTGGAACTGCACATAATCATACAGTCAATGGATATGTGCAAGTACCTAAACACAGGTCAAATACGTTTTTCTATACATCTCAATTTTAAGATGAGGACCTCAAACATATGCTATAAAAAAAACATTTATCAAAACAAACTCAGAAACATAAAGGTAACAGCATGGTCATACATCTGCTTTCCAAATACAACTGTGTGTGTACACATATATACCTTTCTCGACCTTTGGCTAAGCCTGATAACTTAGAGGGTAATATCAAATGACAGCATTGACCTTTCACAAACTTGATGCTATTAATTCCATTACAACAACCCAAAGCCTGCTATGCTTACATCTTCCTTTCAAAAATAAATTGGGATTGCAGATGCCAAACTACAATATTGATTAAATTTATGCACAAAAGAAGGTACCCCATTTAAATTTATTTCAGATTAGTTTAAATGGTGACTAAACTTTGTAGACAAATTTAGATATTTGGATACTGTAGTTAAATTTCAAATTCGATATAAGTTTATCTTTTTCTATTTTCCTGTGCTTTCTGGCAAAGAAACGAGGGGAAACATGAAATTAGAGCAATGGAGTACCAAATTGAGAAAATCGATTGAATATGGGCAAAAACGAACAACCCAACTTCGAATTAAGCATGGAATCAAGGAATTGAAAGAAGAAAAGAGCAAAAACGGCGTAGTTTTGAGAAGTAATTACCCTTTTCAACTCCTTCTTTCGGAGCTCCTTCCGGTAAGCGTCCGTAGGGTTCATCACCTTGCCTCCCTTCGTCGTCTTCATTGTGATCTCTCTCTCTGGCTCTCTTCAAAGTTGTTCTCTTTTTGTTGGTTTTAATTCGATTTCAAGGAATATCGGGTAAATTCAAAACAAAAGTTGCAGAGCGAAACGTGGATGATGCAGAAAATATTTTCCTCTCTTGCTCTAAAGTGTTGAACGAAACCCCGAGGACCCAAAAACCTCACCTAGCTTTTCGTTTAGCCAGCTTCTTCTGTTTTTCCTTAAGTGTGATAGGAAACTTATAAAAGATAAAATCAAATCAAATTTTATTTTTTTTTGTTCTTTATAAATAATAATAATAAATAAATAAAAGGACCAGCATGTAAAAATAGTATAGCCGCGGGGCTATACTATTTTTTATATAAAAAATAAAAAGTCCGTAGTATAGCCGGACGGCCATACTATTTTTAATATAAAAAAGCCCATAGCTATACTATTTTTTAATTAAAAAAATCCCGTAGTTAGCCGCGCTGCTATACTAACTTTCATTCTAGTCTCTAGATGAGCAATACAAGATAAAATTTAAAAACTTTGCCCAAGTGCATCTCTAGTCTTATCTTATACCCCAATAATAGTTTTATTAAATACATCCTTAAATAAAATAATTTGAAAGTATCCCTTATAAAAAAAAGGCTTTTTATCACAAATAGTCCTTCACGGGTTTTTTTGTGACACTAATAGTCCTTAACGTTTGGGCTTTTTATCACAAATGGTCCCCGCCGTTATAAATTCTGTTAAGTGTGACGTGGAAGATAAATGGAGCCCACATGTCCAATCACATTGTAATATGTGGATAAAAAATAATTAAATAATTTTTTAATGAAAATTCCTTTTTTTTTTCTACTACTTTTCATCCCCCTTCCTCCGTCTCTCTCCCCCTCTGCCCTCGCTCTCCACCCTAATAGGTCTTAGATCTGTCATTTGACCCTTAGTGTCTATGCCGCTGCTGTTTCTGGGTTCTTTCATTTAATTAAGTCGGGATTTTTTTCTATGAAATGTTGACTCATTTTCAGTATGAGGATTGTCGGTTTTGTGGGTCATCTGGTTCTTTCATTCCATGGAAACATGAATTGATGGCTTTTGATGTAGTAATTTTTTTTCTTTCTTTTTTTTAAGATTTTAGTAGTGAGGATTTGGTATTTTGGCAGAATATGTGGCTTTATGTTTAGAGGTTGGACTATGATTCATACACATTAATATACTCTGCATCTCTGTTTATTGTGTTCTTTTTTTTTGGCATGGTTTCCATGGCGGTACAGATGGCCCACATCATAGCATTAGAGTTAGGGTTTATGAATTTGAAGGGCCACTCTTAATGCATTTCTCATCCAATTTCAGACCAATTGATGCAAAAAGCACAACAATAATGCATTTCTCATCCAATTATAGAACCCTACTGTTTTTGGTTTGTGACCCTCTTGTTGTTTCATCATAGCAAAGGGTGGAGAGCGAGGGCAGAGGTGGGAGAGAGATGGAGTAAGGAAGGGGATGAAAAGTTGCAGAAAAAAAAAAGGAATTTTCATTAAAAAATTAAAAAATTATTTTTTATCCACATATCACAATGTGATTGGACATGTGGGCTCCAATTATTTTTCACATCACACTTAACAGAATTTATAACGGCGGGGACTATTTGTGATAAAAAGCTCAAACGTTAAGGACTATTAGTGTCACAAAAAAACCTCAAGGACTATTCGTGATAATTTCGTAAACGTGAAGGACCATTTGTGATAAAAAGCCTATAAAAAAAAAAATGGAAATAAATAAACTAAATGGGTAATATTTGGGAAAATAAGGCCCTGCTTGGCCCAAATTGGTGGGCTGGGGCTCGGTGTCTAGGGCCTGAGGGTAAGTCTCTGTTCTTGAAATATTCTTGTGATCTAATGTTCAAGATCAAGACACGTTTGATCTGTATATCAAGCGTCTGAGTTTTATTCACAACCTTTGGGAATTTGGAGGAGAACTAGTCTTCTAGAGAAAAATACTGTACTGTTTCAGCGTTTGAATGGCATTCCTAGAAGGAAACTCTGCTTACAAATGACAGACTTCCAAAAGTACAACCAATGTATACATGACAACAGAGAAAAAGATGCAAATCTCGGCGAGGTCGAAGCAGCTTGAGACACTAAAAGTATCTGCAACTTGATAATTTCTTTTGACAATTGGACTTTATGGTCACCTTAATCACAATTTACAAGTGCAGGTTGAGATGTAGCAGGACAGAGGAGCTAGGTGTTGCTGGTTCCATCAATATCCTGCAAAGACAGAAAGCACTTAAATTATCATAATTGAATTACCATAGCAATCTGATATTACTTCAATAGGAGCAAATGTGACTGAAATTAAGGGAAAAATTCCAGATGATAAAACTGAGACTCTCATCACTCCTCCACAAGGACAAAGCTTGCTTCTATGCAGTGTCAAATCCTTTTTAAACTTTTTTTTCCCCTTTGTATCAAATGAAAAACCCAACAAAACAGCTTAAACTCTCAAAGAATACAGCAGTCTCGTGAGGATTACCTGACTGTAGAAACTTCTTGTCCGGAAGAACAAAGCCAAGGCAGTGAGAGACCCCAAAAGGGTAGCACATGCCATGATAAGGAATGATAACCTAAAGCAGTGAGTTCCGGTGCATGTATTCCATGCCGTCGACGCTTCTTTGTCATAAATATGCCCGATCACTCTCACGGAAAAGATATAAGATCCCACAGGAGCGGCTATGGTAATGGCAATGAATATGGTTCCCATATGTAGCACACCAAATATCTCAGAAGTGATTGTGGGCATTAGCGACCACTGAGAACCATAAAAAACACCCACCAGTAGGGATCCAGTATAAAGAGCACAAGGCATACCAGAAGCAATCACCACATGACCGATGCTCATGCCTGCTAGAGTGATTACCATGAATAATGGCCTTGCCCATCCTCTCAAATGCAGGAAATGATCTGATACATACCCGGCTCCAAAACGACCAAGGAAATTCCAGATACTCCACAAAGAAATCAAAGTACTTTTCTCAAAGGTTCTGTAGCCCAGTGATCCTCCTATCTGGTTGAGGTTATTGATGGTGGCAAGTCCTGAGCCCATTCCACATACCATGGCAATAAACAAAATCCAGAAGTCCAAAGTGCACATGGCTTGGACTAGATTAAAATTTTCTCTGGATTGCAAAGTCCTATCATTACTATCCAGCTCTTGATCAGTATTATTGCTAGGCAAATGGCGATACCCAGAAGGATCTTGTATATGGCTCTTTTCAGTATCTCGCCAGTTGGACTCACCATCTATTAACTGGTCACCCTCAGCTAATAACGTCTGTGAAACCCTATTAGACTCCCTTTTATGTGCTCTAATTGCAATGCAAAGAGGTGAGGCAAGCAGCAGTATAAGCGCAACAAAAGCAACGACACGTATGGCTAAGCACAACGTAAGGAGGTTCTCTAATATTATAAATCCCATAAGGTAAGCAGCAACAATGAGAGCAATCAACGACAAACTATTTAGGTGCTTCTTCTCGTTTCCTTCGTACTTCTTGTGGATCCTCACAAACCACATAAGCAACAAAGTATTTATGGTAGGTAGCAGTGCCAGCATCAGGAGAAATGAAGCAGGTTTCTTGTATAAAAATGTCCAATATATTTGAATTAATATTGCTCCACTCAGACCAAGAAATCCCTAACACGGAAAAGATAAACTTCTCATCCGCATCAAATCCAAGTATTTAGATCAGAAAGAACTCAAGCTCGGACATTAGCCATTACACATGAGCCATGGCACTGACAACCACTTCATTGAGCATCCTTCTAGCATAGTAACCAGTTTCAATGGATATAAGAATTGTCCGGAAGGTCAGGTGAAAATTACTGCTTACCATGTCATAAAAGAAAGAGGGGATGGAAAAAAAAAAACAAAAACAAGGCCCTGCTAACTTATGTTGCTTGTTAGTACAAGAAAAACAACATAAAGTAAGATTATATATATATTCATAGAAGAAAAACAATATAAAGTAAGATTATTTTCTAACAAACAAAAAAAACTAAAGGCAGCTCTCCCAGATTTGAGCACAACCAATAATCCCATCCTACAAGCCAAAAGTTTCTTCTAGAACATCAACCCAATTACCCAAATACCTCCATAATCTAATTTTCTCAGTAAAGTAACATAATTGGCCAAAACAACAAATGGGTTAAATCGAACCAATTCACTTCATTAACAGAATAAACCTTCACTGAGAAAAGCAGATATTTTCCAAGGAAACAAACAGAGTTGCCCAAAAAAAAAACATGAAATTGCAAGTACCTTCATGATGCCAACAATGGTCCCTTTATAATATGGGAAGTTCCTGACACCAGTGACCGCATTGGAAGTGTTAAAGAAAGACATAGCATGAGCCGCCACGAACATGAAAAGGCATATCACCGGCACCGGCGGCAGGGGAATAATGCCGGAGACGGCGGCCCACATGAGGAAGTAACCCAAGAAGCACTGGGCCGCCCTGCCCAAGAGGACCAACCAAACCACACGCCACGTGGCGGAGCATGAGTAGAGGAGGCCAGAGAGGACCCCACAGTTGGCTCCAAAGTCCTTGAACACTGAAACGGTGTCGAGGGTCGACTGATCATAGCCCTGTGTGGTCTTCAGGGTCTGAGAGTAGATGGAGAAGGTGTAGAGGGAGCCGCTGCTGCACTGTATCCATATGCTCGCCACCGTAGATACCCATTTGCTGTCGAAGAGCCTCAGTCTCAGTCTCTTTCTCTGTTGACTGCCCTCCATTTTCTTTTTCTTTCTCTTTTTCTTTTGGGAAAAACCCCGGTAAAGTCTGCATCTTTAATTTTGGTGGCAAAGTCTGCATCTTCGATTACAACATGGTCGTTTGTTGCTTTCTGTGATGTGTGGGTTTTTAGTTTGCTCTTGTGCCCACGTGTTGTCTTAACTTTCAATGATATGAAAGGTGGCACTTTTATGAACCAAAAATGCACTTATTTTTTATTTTAAAAAAGAGTAAAATTTATATGAAAAAGTGAGTTTTGATCAAATAAATAAGAACTGATAACAACCATCTTTAGCAAATTACATTTCAACTAAAGTTTTGATCAAAACTTCCACATATAAATGAACAATATGACACCCACGATCTAGCCCAGTCGAAAATGATCTTCACTTGCAGACCAGAGGTCTCAAATTTGAATCGCATCTTAGTTTTCTGTGTGTGTGAGAAACTTCATCCCCTGTAATTTAGGACTACCACTTGGTACCAAAAAAATTAACAATATGACAGAAAACTCTCTTCTTGAACACAAACCATTTTTTATACATGTAAAAGAATTGTACACCTACAACAGTTGTAATAGATCACAAATTAACAACAGAATGCCAAGAGATCACAACCTCAAACCACAATAATATTTGCCTTATTGGCCTCCACACAACGTTGTCATATTTTGACTCACAGTCATGGAGAATGCCGCAATCTTTTGAGCACAATCGAGCTGTAGAACCCCCTAGTTCGAAAGAACAAACCGAGAGCAATAAGAAACCCAAAGAAAGCAACAGATGCCATGATCAGAAAAGACAACATGAAGCAGTGAGTGCCATTGCAGGAGTCTTCTGCAGAAGCTTCTTTATCATATATGTACCCAATCACTCTTACAGAGAAAATATAAGAACCAATAGGACTGGCAATGGAAATTGTGTTGAAAATAGTACCCATGTGTCTTATCCCAAAGATTTCAGAAGTGATTGTGGGCATCAGTGACCACTGTGAGCCATAACAAATGCCAACTAGGATTGAACCCACATACAAATTTCCAGAAAAACCAGATGAAATTACAATGTGGCCAGCAGCCATGATTGCTAGAGTAACAGCCATCAACAATGGCCTTGCCCATCCTCTGGTATGCAGCAAATAATCTGAGACATACCCGGCTCCGAAACGGCCTAGAAAGTTCCATATACTCCATAGAGAAACAAAGGAATTGATCTCAACTGTTGTGTAACCAAGGGACTGGCCTATTTGGCTCATGTTGTTTATTGTGGCCAATCCAGACCCCATTCCACAAATCATGGCAATAAACAACAACCAGAAATCAACAGAACCCATAGCTCTCAGTAGATTCATATCTTCAAGATGATCTACCAGCATTTCATGTTCATGTTCTACAGGTTCCCCTGATGCAGAGAACTTTGATGATGCCAATCTTGGTTCAGGGTTTTCTAGCAAAGGATCAACAGTCTCTGGAAGCCTCTTTGACTCAAATTTCTGGGCTTTGGTTGCAATTCCAAGGGGTGAGGCAATTAAGACTACAAGAAGTGCTATGAATGTAGCAATACTCGCCCATGATGTGAAACTGAAGATGTTTTTCAAAATGATTATCACCATGAGATAAGCAGCTATGAGCATCGCAAAAGCAGAGAAAGCATTCAAGTACTTCTTATCAATATCAGATCTATGAGCTTCATAGATTCTCACATGAGGCATGAACAAGATGGAGACAGATGTAGGCAACAAAGCCAGCATAAGAAGGAATGTGCTGGGCTTGTCTTTGCAGAACGTGTCATAGACTTGGACTAGCATTGCTGAACTAAGACCAAGAAATCCCTGGCCATGAAAACATATGTGGTTTCATTAGACATTAGCCAGCTCCCAAAAGCGAAAGAAATGCAAACACTATATTATCATTTAAGTTTATCCGTTGAAGATACCTAAGAACAAACTTTTTTCTCAATTTTTGTCTAATTGGTGAATCTCACAAACCTTGAGTAGGAGAATGCGAAAATTCTGAATCTGAATTTAAGACATTATATTAAATAACTTTAAAGATTGTTTTTGAATATAAAGTTGTCATAGGAATTCCAAGAACCCCACTTTCTTGCTCATACATTATGCATCCTATGTGAATGCAGGAAATTTCTAGTAAACTCACGACTTTAAAGAGAAATGTTGTATTACATGCGCGTGAGTGACTGCTAGTTATTGATGCAGCTAGCATATCTCCATATCTCCCTAAACCCTATCTCCCATATTATGCCAACTGACTAGGTGTTTTACCATGTATATGTGTTCTAACTTCTATATTATAAATCATGTGAAGAAAAATATAGCATATCTCCATATCTCCATGGTACAAATTTGCTGCTTTTATTGCCCTCCAATAAATATAAACAAGTAAGAATCTATGAAGCAAATTTGTAATATAGAAGTTAGATTAGTACTTCTTCTTGACATTTATCTCTGTGTGATGAACAATGTAGTCATCATATCTATCTAACCTTCATGATGCCCACGATGGTCCCACCGTACTCAGAGAAGGAGACAGATGTAGGCAACAAAGCCAGCATAAGAAGGAATGTGCTGGGCTTGTCTTTGCAGAACGTGTCATAGACTTGGACTAGCATTGCTGAACTAAGACCAAGAAATCCCTGGCCATGAAAACATATGTGGTTTCATTAGACATTAGCCAGCTCCCAAAAGCGAAAGAAATGCAAACACTATATTATCATTTAAGTTTATCCGTTGAAGATACCTAAGAACAAACTTTTTTCTCAATTTTTGTCTAATTGGTGAATCTCACAAACCTTGAGTAGGAGAATGCGAAAATTCTGAATCTGAATTTAAGACATTATATTAAATAACTTTAAAGATTGTTTTTGAATATAAAGTTGTCATAGGAATTCCAAGAACCCCACTTTCTTGCTCATACATTATGCATCCTATGTGAATGCAGGAAATTTCTAGTAAACTCACGACTTTAAAGAGAAATGTTGTATTACATGCGCGTGAGTGACTGCTAGTTATTGATGCAGCTAGCATATCTCCATATCTCCCTAAACCCTATCTCCCATATTATGCCAACTGACTAGGTGTTTTACCATGTATATGTGTTCTAACTTCTATATTATAAATCATGTGAAGAAAAATATAGCATATCTCCATATCTCCATGGTACAAATTTGCTGCTTTTATTGCCCTCCAATAAATATAAACAAGTAAGAATCTATGAAGCAAATTTGTAATATAGAAGTTAGATTAGTACTTCTTCTTGACATTTATCTCTGTGTGATGAACAATGTAGTCATCATATCTATCTAACCTTCATGATGCCCACGATGGTCCCACCGTACTCAGAGAAGTTGTGGACCCCGGTGACCACATTGGCGGTGTTGTAGAAAGTCTGAGCGTGGGCCGCCAAGAACATGAACAAGCACACAGCCGCGACCGGCGGCCTCTCGACCAATCCGGTCACAGCAGCCCACAAGAAGAAGTACCCCAAGAAGCACTGGATAGCCCCCGCCGCGTGCACCACCCAGGGCCCGCCGATACGGCGATGATTGAGTGCGACGGCGGAGTATAAAATCCCCGATAGGATGCCGGCGTTGGCGCCTATGTCCTTGAAGACGGACACCGTGTCGAGCGTTGATTGGTCGTAGCCCTGGCTGGACTTGAGCGCCGACGAATAGATGCTGAAGGCGTAGGAAGAGCCGGCGGCGCTCTGGATATATATGCTGGCCGCTGTGGCCGTCCACTTGCTGCTCAGCCTCTCCATCTCTGCCATGGCTTAGCTTAGCTCTCACTTTTTATAAAATGAAATCTATCTTTTATCTATTTCGCTGTTACCATTTTATTGGCTATGTTGTCGACAATGATTGCAGCTAACATCAAATTTTCAAGATTACCACACACAATCCGTGACAGCTTTCTTTCAGACCTAACCAAAACAAAAATATCCTATTTCTGTTCTGTTGCCTCGATATAAAGCGCTTGTTGAAAAAGCAGTTCTAGTCTCGATAATTTTCACTAAAAGAAGGTAGAACACTTATCTGATAGGGGATAAATTTTTGTATGTTCTAAATACACGCTATCTAATCTCGGGAATACACAAAAGTTGACCATCTTAAAGTGCACGAAATTTTATTTCACAAATGTAAAATCTGCCTCCATTTTTAGGTAACTTGATATATTATACCCAAAAATACAGATTCAATACATTATTAGATATACTGATGGTGATGACAATGACTTTAAATAAGATTGAAGACTCGAGATTTAGATACAACACGCATGTCGTACTGTGTTAGGCATGCTAGCTTACCATTTATTGGGCCCTAATACCAATAATAATACTTCAATCAATGAGGTAGCTTTGCTGGGCTGTGACCTCTATGTTTTGACTTTTGGAAAGACTAAGACACACCCACCCACAAAATCAACTCCAAATCCCACTCATGATTTTGGGATCATCTCACGTTTATAATATGGTTTTCTATTGTTAAAATAAATGGAGGACAAATCCAACCATGTTTATTGCTCATGATTTTGTAAATTCAAGTGCTCGAGATGTGCGTTGTGAAGCTAGCATGATCACTGGATCATTGTGGGTTTTACATGCATCAACAGATAGATCATAAATATACAAATAACAGGCCCGCTCACGGAGAACTGAAAGGAGGTCCAAAATGTTCAATGAATTTGTCATATCTTATGGCCCAGTACGGCATTGGGCTGTCTGTTCAAGTTCAAGCTTGCATAACAATATTTTGCTTTTGTTCGACGTCCGATGATTTCGGCGTTCCTCCCTCCAGTCCAGCCCAAAAGTCTTCATAATTTTGTCCAACTTGAGTTGCTTCATGTTATCATTATTCTTTCATATGGCCCAAAATTGAGAAACAACAGATCTGTATTTTGCCCTTTCATTTAGAGAAAAGTCCAGGTCACCGTGGCGCAAAAAGCTTAGGCAGGAACGTGCAGGCACATGGAAACCACACGGCCAAAGGTCCAATGCACGTGCACAACTGGACAAAGATTAACTGTGGACATTAGGAGCTTCGACGGTTGACCTGCCTCACTTGACGACAAGGTCTCCAGCATCGTCCAGCACCAAACGCACCGTTTCGCTCCTTCACCGACATTAAAATAAGACAGAACAAGCACAAGGAGGCAAAGCGGGACGGCGTGAACAAGCCCTCCTTCCTACTTAACCAACGCATTGCATGGTGATTTCTGACCCTACCCCTTTTAGGCTTTTAGTACCATTATTCAAACTTGAACCACATTAAACAAGATTAAATTAATCTAATCACTATTAAACAATTGGCAGGAAGGATTAAACAATTGGCGGGAGAGGCTGTCAAAGCCACGCGCTCTTGTGCCGTTGAAGGACCACGTTGGCATACAAGGCGAACATAGCTGCTTCCCCCCTCTTTTCAAAGGAGATATTTCTTGTTTTTGTAAATCACAATTTGACATAAAAAGGATAAAACGAACCATTTATGCTAGAAAGCAAAGTATTTTCCAAAGACGCAAAAGGCCAAACAACCTTTTCGTTGCGCACTCTCCACGCTCCAGTTGAAGCGCCTGGGGTTGGAACAGTAGGCAGCGTTGGGGTTTCAGTACGACGTCGTAATCACCGGCCGTGGCAGCAAGTAAAATGCATAAAATAAAAGATTCGAAATATATAAAAAAAATATAAGTTAAAAAAAATAGTTTTGAATTTGATGTGTGGGTTAGCTGGGGAACAGACAGAAAGAGAGAGCCTAGAAAACTAGTGTGTTAAATTCCCTTGACCCTCGCAATGCCAAACTTCCCTCTCTCTTTCTCAACCTTCATGGTGCTTAAACGACGTCGTCGTCTCACCGTGGATGGGCGGCGACGACAACTCTCCCCAATGCCTCCTCCCCCCTTCGATCAACGACACTCAACCGGCGTCGTCCTCCCCCTCCTCCGGCGCACATGTCAGGCTCGTTCACACGCCGATCCTCTTTCTCGTCTGCTTCCACAAGGCGCTGCGAGCCGAGCTCGAAAATCTCCGCCACGTGACATCGGCCGCCTTGGAGAGTGCCTCACGTGACCGCCAAGGCCGCGACTTTGTTCTGCAGCTTCTGCGGCGGTTTGAGTTCCTAAAGCTCGCTTATAAGTACCACTGCTCTGCAGAGGACGAGGTCAGCTCAAAGTTTTCCAATTGGCTATCAATTTTCTTTTAAAGAAATTATAATTATAATTAATTTAATTCATGAACTAATTAAGCTAATGTATTTTAGTAAATTGCTTGATTAATGTGACAAAAAGTATCTGAAGCTGCAATGCATTATTAACTAGAGTTTTAAACTTAAATTTTCATAATGTTGTTGGCAGATTATTTTTTTAGCGCTAGATGGACGAACAAAAAATGTAGCCAGTACATATTCACTAGAACATAGGACCATAGACGGTCTCTTCGATTCAATTTTCAATCGCTTGGATGCTTTGTTAGATGAAAATGGGAATATTTCGAAGCAATTTCAAGAACTTGTGTTCTGCATCGGGACGCTTCAGGCATTCATTTGCCAGCATATGCTGAAAGAAGAAGAACAGGTATAGCCAAAATGGTTATTTAACCAAATTCAAAATGTCATTTGTAACCGTGTATTTCCATTGATATTTTGATTGTATCGTCTTTGTATAGTTCTGTAGTTATATATCAACTGGTTGTGGTGCTTGCTTTGCGCTACATAAATTATGTGTATGGGATGCAGGTTTTCCCTCTGATCCTCCAGCAATTCTCTGCGGAAGAACAGGCCTCGCTTGTGTGGCAGTTCATGTGTAGCATTCCTTTAGTGCTGCTGGAGGATCTACTTCCGTGGATGATGTCCTTTCTTCCACCTGATGAACAAGAAGAAGTTATACATTGCATAAAAGAAATTGTACCTGACGAAAAATCACTCCAAGAGGTAGATTCTGACCCAAAGTTCTAACCTTTGTGTGAATCAACTTTTTGATAGTTACTAGCTTAAATCTTTGTGAAGGTAGTACTTTCTTGGCTTGCTAGCAATGAACAAGTCACATTTGAGGCCAACAATAAGGCTGGAGGAGCTCAACACACTGGCGAATCTGCAGATTTGAAAAAATTACTGAAGTCTCATTCGCCTAAGAGGTTTTTTGAAGAAAATAGGAGTAGCATTAAGGCAAATTGCGTCCACTCTGAAGTTGGATACAATCCGGTTGATGGCCTTCATCTTTGGCATGCTGCCATTATGAAAGATTTGACAAGGATTCTGGAGGAGCTTTACCAATTAAGAAGCTCAAGCAGTTTTTTGAGTCTTGATTCAATAGTTGTCCAGCTAAAGTTCTTTGCTGATGTCCTTGCTTTCTACAGGTAATTGATGTAATTGCTGTGTCCTTATGTGCTTATATTTTTTTATTTTTTGTTCAGTAATTGATTCTTCACCAAAAACTTTCTGACCTGCAGCAGTGCATTGGAGAAGTTATTTCATCCTGTGTTAAATGAACTTTTCAATAGCTGTCTTTACCCTTCCAGTGAACAATTTCCCAATGAAATACATGTCGAAGGTTTGCAGAGGTTGCTATACTGTACTCCTGAAAATGGAACACCTTTATGCAAATTTGTGGAGAAACTTTGCTGGGAACTGGAGTCTTTTGTGGTGGGAATCAACAAGCATTTTGCTTTCCAAGAGACGAAGGTACGCTGCATAAATTATTGAAGATGCTTTTAAATCAAGGAAGAGAAATATTATCAGCATTCTAGGCTCTCTTTCCGATGATATAGGGAATTTAGGGTTACCATGATTTCTATTGATCACATGTCTTAACTCTACTATCAGTATGTTACTGAAAATATTTTCCACATTGGTTGCAAATTAACACTTTTCCAGTTTTTATCAGGTATTTCCCATTGTAAGGATGAACTGTAGCCATGAAATGCAGCAGCAACTGTTGTACGTGAGCCTTCATATTCTGCCACTTGGATTGCTAAAGTGCACGACCACTTGGTTTTCAGCTTGTTTATCTGAGGACGAATCCAGGTCCATCCTTAGCAGCTTGAAGCAGGGAGATTCTTTAGTCAATAAATCATTTGCATCCCTCTTACATGAGTGGTTCCGCATTGGTCATTCTGGTAAGACCTCTGTTGAAAAATTTCGAAAGGACTTGCAGCAAATATTCAAGAGCAGATGCACTTCCTTATCCAAGCAATTCTATGATACTACTGGATCCTCATCCTTAAGTTCCAATGTGCAACCTTGTGAGGGATCAAACACTCGGCTAATAGCACCAATCTCGTCTGACAAGGGCAAGAATTCTATGCCATACTCCAGTGGAACCAATATTCACATATATTTCCCTGGAACAATGAAAACATCACATCACTTGCCTGAAAGTCTTAGTGGAGAAAACCTTCTTGGTTATGATCTCCATGAACCAAAACCAGTAGATCTCATATTTTTTTTCCACAAGGCTCTCAAGAAAGATTTGGAATACCTTGTCTTTGGTTCAGCTCAGTTGGCCGAAAATGTTGCTTTTCTCACAGATTTTTGCCGACGCTTCCATCTTATACAGTTTTTATATCAAATTCATAGCGAAGCAGAGGACGAGGTTGCGTTTCCAGCTTTGGAGGCAAAAGGAAAATTGCAAAACATTAGCCACTCTTACACAATGGACCACAAACTGGAAGTTGAACACTTTAACAAGATATCCCTCATTTTAGATGAGATGTCTCAATTGGATGTTTCAGCTTCTAAGGTTGAGTCAAACACAGTGGATCAGAAAATGCTGCAGCACCATCAGCTGTGCATGAGGCTTCATGATATGTGCAAATCAATGTGCTACTTACTGACTGAACATATTCATCGTGAAGAAGTTGAACTTTGGCCCTTGTTTAAAGAATGTTTCTCCATTAAAGAGCAAGAAAAGATCGTAGGATGCATACTTGGTAGAACAGAAGCAAAAATATTGCAGGATATGCTACCCTGGCTAATGGAGTCTTTGACACCAGAAGAACAGCAAGCCATGATGTCTCTATGGCGCCAGGTCACACGAAACACAATGTTTGATGAGTGGCTTAAAGAATGGTGGGAGGGGTATGATGCAGCTAAAGTGGTAGAGGAGTCAAATGTCCCTCCTCCTTCATTGACTGCAGATCCCTTGGAGATTGTCTGTACCTATCTGTGTGGATCAGGTGAACAGGAAGGAAGTGTCTGTTACAAAAGTATCAATTGTTCAGACAAAGATTCCCCTGCCGTTAATACCAAGCCATTTGAAAATAGTGATGTGGATGAGAAGCCGAAGGATTCTGATAGCAACCGGTGTATTTATACTGATACAGAATATGTAAGACCTTGTGCTAAAGGTGACAAGAAGAGATGCCAAGAAGTAGAAAATGCCACAAACCAAATCAATGATCCAGTTCAACTTTTTCAAGCAAGCCAGAAATCCAAGTATTGTGAGTGCTTGCTGACACTAGGCCAAGAGGATCTGGAGGCTGCAATTAGAAAAATATCCCGTGACTCTTCCTTGGATCCTCAGAAGAAATCACATATGATCCAGAACCTGCTAATGAGGTTGGTCCCGTCCCATTTTTTTCTTTCTTTATCATTTTTCTCCCTTGTTTATGAGAAAATTATACTATCTATTGTGAAGGAAAGAGGCAAAATACCTTTATATATGTAAGAGTAATCTGAGTATTTTATTGACATGGTTTATTCCTAGTATAAGAGGAAAAATTACCTTGGTATGAGTAAAAGTAATTTGAGTATAACATCACCTTGACAAAACTAGCTTATAGGTAAAATTAGAAGAGGTAGTGGAGTAGGTTGGACCAAAGAAGTAAAGTTATATAATTTTGTATTTTGTACATCAGAAATCTGACAAATATGATATCACAAAAGTCCTTAAGACTTGTGTGCTTTTTCTTACTTTGTAACATGTCTGTTTGTCTCTACATGTTCATAAAATATGACATAGACCAAAGTGAAATCTTTTCAATATTTATATTGTTTCAGCCGTTGGATAGTCAGACAACACTCTGAATTAAGAGACACAAGTAATGGGAAAGAATTTCCTGGTCAGCATCCATCCTATCAGGACCCTTTTGGACTAACCTTTGGTTGTAAACACTATAAGAGGAACTGTAAGCTTGTTGCTGCCTGTTGCAACCAGCTTTATACCTGCATACGCTGCCATGATGAGATGGCTGATCATACAATAGATAGGTATCAACAGTCTGAGTTACAGTTCAGGCATTTAGCCTGTGAAGATTATAGTTTTCTTTTTCTATCTTCTCAGTTTTGATTCTTATGTGATACATATGCAGGAGATCTATAACAGAGATGATGTGCATGAAATGCTTGAAAATTCAGCCAGTGGGGTCCACATGCTCAACTGCATCCTGCAGTAATATTTCCATGGCAAGATACTTTTGCAGGATCTGCAAAATATTTGATGATGAACGGTAATTTATCCTGATTGGCCTGCTTTGTTTTAGCTCATTGCTTGTAAGATAATAGCATGTTAAATGGGTGACTTTAAAAGTTTGACCATAACAAGCACTTAAACTCCTTCCCTCTGAAACAAAAGTCCAGCCTCTTTGTTGCTTCTGTTGCCTCAGAAAATGAAGGATATAGAAATCATAGTAGGAAGCAGATACTAAGCTGACCAGAGGAGTATTCTTGACTTAAAATTAAGATGGTTAAGATGGTCGAGGCTCTGAAATCTGCTAGGCAACTTGCCACCTCCAGTTACCTATTTCTTAAATGGAACAACTTATGACCTTGTCAACAGTCAGTAGCTACCCTGGTGTAGAACACATGTTTGGAAGTGTAGAGTATAATCTATAATCTCATTACATCATTATGCAGGCAATCTTAGTTCTCTGGTCTAGTCACCACAATGACTGGATTGATCTGTACTGTAAGGAATTAAGCACTTCTGGCCGCCTCTATCTGCTAAAATTCTCTAGTGATTAGAATGGGGTCCTGCTCTTCCCCCATTTTGTACGACGGCAGTGAGTGATTTGGGATAAATTTAATGCTACCTTGCCATGCCAATTAGCTATTTTACTATTAGATTCACCACTACCAGATGTTTTATGGTTCTAACGAAGAAGCTGTTTAACAGGGTTATCTACCATTGCCCTTATTGTAACTTGTGCCGACTTGGAAAGGGATTGGGTATTGACTACTTCCATTGCATGACTTGTAATGCTTGTATGTCCCGTTTGCTAATGAAGCACACATGCAGAGAGAAATTATTCATGGATAACTGCCCTATTTGCAATGAGGACATCTTCACATCCACCTTGCCAGTAAAGTCCCTTCCATGTGGTCATTTGATGCACTCAACATGTTTTGAGGTATTTGCCTTTCATAATTTCTCGCTTTTCTACTTGGAGATTTTGCATATATTCAGACTTCTTTACTACTGGTACTTCTGATGCTGCTTCTAGGCCTACACCTGCACTAATTATACCTGCCCAATCTGTGGCAAGTCACTTGGGGACATGCAGGTCAGTTACCAAATATTTTCTCTAGTCTTTTGCATTTTATTTACTTATAATTTGTTAGAATTTATATTGCTGCAAACAATACACTATTTTAAAAAAAGAATTAAACTTACGATTAGAAACTTCGAAAAACAATGGATTCTCTGAGTGAATAAAATGTAAACTTACTGTTAAGATATTGTCTTGAGCTTAAGCTATAAACTAAGAAACTTTCTTCAGCGGATTCAGTTCATCCAATTGCTTGATATGTTGAATTGTATCCAACTGAGTTGTGTGACGTCTCACGGCCCTTGAACCATTTTGCAGGTGTATTTTAAAATGTTGGATGCATTTTTGGCTGAAGAAAAAACTCCAAATGAGTACTCTGGCCAAACTCAGGTTTGTCACCCCATTTTTCCTCATCATACTCTCTCAAGAGCTTCTAATGCTTCCAGACATAGATATATATATATATATATATATATGTTAATTGACTGTCAAAAGAATTGTAGGTCATACTTTGCAATGATTGTGAGAAGAAAGGAACTGCTCCCTTCCATTGGCTTTACCACAAGTGCTCCTCTTGTGGTTCATACAACACCAGGATTCTGTGACTCAATTCGACACAATAGATGATGAAGCTACTTTATATGTAAAGAAATCAAATTTCAACACTTATGAATATGTATATTAAGCTCCCTCATTTTGAGATCTTAATTTCATAATGTTGTAAATTATTTTAATATGCTATAGTTAGTTCATTAAGTTAAAACACTGCGCACAGTTATCTGGAGATAGAAAATGTTATTCAAATAAACAAATAGTCGATTATAAACTCAGTTGTGAAACATTGAAAGCCAAAGTTCTATACAAAGAAAAAAAAAAGCTCAGTATTGTGGATTTTTATTAAAAAAACAAAACAAAATTGTTGGTGTTCCCGTGTGAATTATCAATTCAAGATGTAAGAAAATAAAGTAGCAGAAGAAGAATAACAACCACACTACTTCATCTAAAGCTTACTGATCAGTTGACGCTGGTAAGACTAAAGCATGATGCAGCATTCTTCAATGCGTTCTCCACATGCTCCATCGATTGTGTCGTGTCCTTAAACGATTCTTCGGAGCTGCAAGTAAAATGTTGCATCATGAAGAGAACAAAACAATGAACCAGAACCTTAATCACAATCATTTAGTGCATTACATTACATAACCAAAGTGATTATAAAAGAAATGTACCTTGACTCGTAAGCCGCTTTAGAATCAATGTAGGACTGTCTGTCGTCGATGGTGTCGAAAAAGGGATGCAGCTCATCATAATCTTGAACAACATCTGGTTGGAGAGAGAGTGGCTGAAGAACTCCCAGTTGGGATTGAATTGTCTCTGAATTGTTATTGTTGCTGTTGTTGTTAGTGGTACAAGGATTTGAAACCCACAAAGGATTTGCGGCATTGTTATCCTTAGAGTCAATATAAGCAGAGCTATAAGCAGCATCACTGCTGTTAGAGTAAGACTGCTGTTGATGGTGGTGTTGTGTTACAGGCAAAGCAGGCATGGCATTATTGTTATTATTATTGTAAGGCTGTGGGTTGTGATTGAAAAGAGGGAGAGAATTATTAGGTGGAGCCATGCCCAGTTCTAATTGTGAGGTTACATATTCAGGCACAGATGAAATCTGATGCTGGTGGTGGTGATGTTGCCTGTACATTGCAAGCTGGGCTTGAACAGCTTGAAGCTCTTCCTCTGCCAGCAGAAGTTGGTATTGTAGATGCCAAATCACCTCCCAACAGCCGTAAACCGGAAACTTGTCACGAACATTGGCCTGGTAAATTATGGACCTCATGGCCTCAAACTTCATTTCAGGGTCCACGTTTTTAAGTATTTTCACGATGTTGCTAACTCCAAATAGCTTGTGTGCGTTTTGGAACATTTTGGGTTGGTCTGCTGGGAAAAAAGGGGCCAAAGGGCACTCGGGGGTGCACTTTCTTCTTTGGTATTTGCACGCAGCACAGGCCGAGTTAGTGGCACCCTTAAGGGTCATGTTTGGAGAAAACAAGGATTGGAACCAATGTGGCAGACGAGAGAAGGAAAAACCCAGAAAGCAATTGGAGCTGCGTTTGAGAAGAAGAAGAGTGGCAATGAGTTGAACAAGAATGAGGAGGAGGAGGAAGAAGAAGAAGGTGAAGGAGGAGATCGTTGGAAGTGATATGGGAGACATTTTTTGGGATCTGAAAAGGTCTGATAATGTGCGTATTTACTGGAAGTAGAAGAGACTGAGTAAAAGAAAAGTTTGAAGAGGAAGCGAAATAGACGGGGAAGTCTCTCTCTGTGTATGACCGTTGGAGAGAAGAGTCCTAAAGTTTCGGGACACTTTTATGGTCATAGCTACTTCACACTGACCCGTCTCTGCATGAGCATGACATGGCTTCCCAATTCTAAATTCTAATTTACTTTTTGAATTTTTGATTGGGCAAAGTTGTTGTAGGTTAAGTCAATTGGCCAATGCAGTGAGTCATTCCCCTTGCATTCAAATTCAAATCCCTATTTCTGTAGGTTGAGTAATTTAGGTTATCGCTTGTATAAGTAACTATTGGGTGAAGTTTATCATCCTTCTTATGACTACATATCACATGAGTGTTCACTTGGAATGTGTAACACGTGCCAAAATGGTAATGTAGAGCAAAACCAGTTAACTCACTCACACTTTGAAATGATAAATTATACAAGAAAAATTTATGGAGAGGAGAAAGGGCAATAGAAGATCTTCATTAATTGAACCCAATTGTAGTATCAAGATGCAGCAACAAATCTACTTTAAGCTGAAGTTGGAAGACCCAAAGGGGGGTGGGGGAATAGGGTTATCTATACATACAAAACCTTTTTTATCAAAATTTGGGGGAAATATAATATAAAAAATAGAAAACGTCTAGCAAAGACTTCGATTTGCAAAACCTATAATTCCCCCGTTACAACTGTTACATGCTCTGAGAAACAACTGGCAATCAATGCCATTATGGAAAATGGCAGTTTATAAGCTCCTTAAATGCCAGACAACTTAGTTGTTATGCCTTCTTCTTCTTCATCATCAACAAATCCACCTTAAAAGGAAAATTGCAGGAACAGGTGACCTGATTATGTTGAAAAGTTATTGGTGGTAAACATAGAACAACCTTACACTTTTTGGCTCCTCAATTGCCTGCTTATGCTGAAACTCTCTTCTAGATACACGGTTCTTCCTCAAGGACCAGTTGCTCCCACAAAAATTCTTCATTATATCACAAAACTGTTAATTCTATATCAGAACTCTGGACTTCAACTGAAATATCTAAGACGTTGTGAACTTTACTGTCTAACCGGCAGGGTACAGAGGAATTCATTACTATGATTGGTTCCTCGCCATGGATGATGAACGAATGTGAAGTCACTTACAACACCAATGCTCTCTTGTGAAGTCTAAGAACGTAATGAGATCCACAAAAAGCCTAGTTTACAGCTTCAAAGAAAAGAACTTGTGGTTGCAAATGCCCTTTTTCACACATTGTAAGAACATCAGCCCAGCCACCAATCACCTAGACATCAGACACAAATTATAACAAAGGGCGAAAGAAGAGCAAAAGAAGGCATTATTTTTACACTAGGAGGTGAATTTACCTTGACAGTTTTATCATCGTACATAATCCAGCATTCACGGTCATGACTATAGGCAAAGCAATGATAATGTTGACCATAGTAGCAAACCTGAAAGTAAACAACGGATATGAGGTAACAAAAAATTAAGAAAACCGGTATCTACAAAAGTTCTTGTCAAAGCAAATTCAATATGAGATTCAAAAGTTATGCAGGGATAACAAAGGAGCGTTTTCAATCAGACAAGATTTTGGAGATATCACGAGATTCACAACTCCAAATAGAAAACAAATAAATAAAAGCAGCCGCATAAACCTAAGTGTATGGTTAAGAAAGTTAAGCCTTCAACCTTCAACCAAACTCAACTTTCCTATTTCAAAATCAGAGGAAAATTACGCAACAGAAGTTTGGGAAATAGAACGCTAATATCTGCATGACAACAACATTGAGGGTTATTATTTAAATATGCATACCACAGAAACCAAGTTATGCGTGCTCTTTGGATCCAGGCCACGATAAAGGACACTGATATCTATCTCAGTATTAAGAGCTGCCAATGTTGCTGTTATATCATCAGCACTCTCGCATGTCTTCTGCCAACCCAGAACTGCATGACCAAATATAAATATACATATATTAGTTTAAATGGAAATCCAATTTCCTCTTTACAAACATAACCGAAGATTCTCCCCACAACTCTTCAAGTCACCTGTTGTGAATACATGTGGTGGGGTTGAGAGAATGTGATGGATATAGTTGAGCTTCCCACAGCCACCAGCCTTAGGATCAGGATCACAGGCTAACTGATGATTCATCTCCACAAGATTTAAAAGCTCGTCATAGGAGCTTTCTGCACACATAACCTGAATAGCAAAGAACGATAAAGAGAAATGGGAGCAATCAGTTAACATGCCAAAAACAGAAATAAGTTGCTTAACTAAAAAAATTTGAACATCAGGATCACGAAAGTTCCAAAGTGATACCTTCATTGTTCGGAGAGCACTTGCATTTATGTTATGGAAGAATGAAGTGTACTTGAGATGTCTGGACTCCAAACCACAATTGTAGCAATTCATTCGTTCAAAAATGTCCATGCCAAAGATGGAATGCACTATACAAGCATTGTTTGAACAATCCCAAGATCCCGGACAACTACTCTCCACCGATTCAGCATCAGAAACACTTGAACCAGGTGTAAATGCCCGGTGAAGACACTCGAATATCACCACCAAAACTTCAGAAGCATCATTCATCTGAGCCTGTATAGTTTCTATTATATTAGTCCCAACTTTAAAAATAAAGATAAATTTATGAGCCAGTGATGACTTCAGAATAAATATAAAAGTTGTTTGCGAGGCAAGGGATGCAATCAAGTTCTCCAAAAATACCTCCTGGAAGAAATTACTTTCTGGATACAGGTTGCTTAAAGCTATTCTCAAAGAAGTAGGGGCAACTGCTTCTCTTCGCATATCTGCAGATGCATTGGTCAAGGCAGTAAAGATTTCATACAATGCACAGACAACACAAGGATCCCCCACATGCACATGCTCTGATGTTGATCTTCGTAGGAACTCATCTCGAAATAGTCTAATATGCCACAAGGACTGAAATGATAAAATAAAAGGCAATGTTTCAATATCAGTAAGATGCTCAGGAAAAATGAAATACAACGACAACTGAACGAAGAACATAAATTAGACAGCGCGAACCTGTATAATAACATTCAGAAAGCAGTTGTATTCACCAACTTCATTCTTTAAACCTGTACCAAATATATTGGTTTCACTCGCATTTTCATTTGTGATGTCATTATGTAAAACAGCACCACCATCTACTTCTGTAGATATCCTTTTAAGCATCCTCGAATTTGAGACTATGGGCAACTTCTGATGTTCTTGGAATGTGTCTGAGAAATGAGTTAAAAGGTTAGGCAGTTGCACATACCACATACATCATAGTAGCAAGTGCTCAGAGCCTCATTTATTGGGAGAAATGCATTAGTGAGACGGCTAGTAGCAATACAATTTGGCAAGGTTTAGCATATTTCTCAATCAGTCTCAT